CTGAGCAGACAGACAAACAAACAGACAAACGATATTACACACACTCCAATTATATTGATTTGTATAGCTATAGTTACACTGTTTAATTAGTTTAAAAAAAATAAAAGCCAAAAAAAACAATTTAGATCTATACGTAGTAGTGGTAAAATAGCTTGTAATTTTTTTTTGCTATAATTTTTTTAAAAAAAATTAAGGCACTGATAATTAAATGCTAATTAACATATGTTTCACGTGATTTTTGCCATGATTTAAAAGCCTTGCAATTCGACATGCATCCAATTTCCTTGATCAATACCGTGGTAAAAAAATGTTTTTTGCGTTTCATTATGTTTGGTTTAACTTTGCATGTTTGGTTTCTATTTGGTTAAAGCGTATCAGTTTACGATGTAAGTAATTAATTGCTGTATTGGTTATGTACCTTATTAATACTTGTTATCTTACTAATATTTTAAATACGAAAGTTTAGATGTATTGATAGATAGATGGATGTAACTTATTATAAAAAAAATATCTCCAGAACGGCCGAACCTATCTCGATGTAATTTGGCATGGATGTAGAACATAGTCTGGAGGAACACATAGACGATTAATTAACTTCTTTTTTATTCCTCACGGGCGACAGCTATTCATTTATATTAATATGATTTTTCCGTCTTATACGCTAGTGGAATTGAACGTTATGGCGATAACCGTTGTACTTATGAATGGACCGGTGCGTCCGACGTGACCTCAAATAATACAGCCGTGAAGTACAGATATTTTAGTGCGCTGCGTAGAGGTGCCCTTGAGTAATTCCATCGTTTCTTTTTCCATACGTGTCCTATCCTCCGACTGATATAAAAGTGGACTTCCACTGTAGAGACACTTCTGAAAGACATTTGGCAACCCATTCATTCTTTGTAGAAAAATATAATATAGTTGAAGCATCTAGCAAATATAAATTTACAGAAATAATCTTACTAATATTATAAATGCAAAAGTTTAGATGGATGGATGGATGGATGTTTGTTACTAGGTATCTCCAGAACGGCTAAAGGAATCTAGTTGAAATTTGGCATACATGTAGAAAAAAGACTGGTAGAACACATAACGTACTATTTAATTTTTTTTTATCCCACAAGGACAGTGTTCGTTCGACAACTCGTGTTTCAGTACAGTTCTTAGTGAATGTAACGGTAATATTTTTCATAGCATAAGCGATCCAATATGAAGATTACAATTAAGTTAAAATCGGAATACATTGTCACAGTTGATTACGTTACAATGTTGCATAACGATCTATTTTACAGCTCCATATAAGTAAGAATAAATTCAAAGAGATTAGATAACATCGTTTATTTATATAAGACGCTTCTTCCTGCGATTAAAACAATTTACGTATTTACGGAGCACGCATTATACTGTAAATACTTTATTATCTATAAAGTTTACTTAATCTATGAAATTTATTCCATACTCATATATTTTCTAAAAAAATAATAGCAAAAAATACGTTACAAGTAATTGAAAACACTATTTTTAATAAAAAAAAAACTGACTGTAACTCTATGTCATTCAAAAGAATACGAATAAAACATCTCATTTGTCAAAATTGGTTTACTTTGAAAGCACTTTTAAGCTGCATCTTATAATGGAACTTACATACATACAAACCCTATAAAACAAACTTTCATACGCGTGAAAGTCTCTTGTCAGTCGGGAAGATTACGCATGTAGTCAAATAGCTATCGCCCTCGTCTCCGTCCGCCCGGAATTAAAAAAAAAACATAATTAGTAGCCTATATGTTCTCCCAGACTATGTTCTATATCTATGCCAAATTTTAGCGAGATCCATATAGACGTTCTGTTATTCTAATGTCCATCCATCTATACAAGCAAACATTCGCATTTATAATATTAAGAAGATATTTGTTACTGAGCCATTACATAATTATGCGATAGCTCTTTCTCTTCGATTCGTTCCATTTTTACACTAAAGAAAAATTTAGATATAAAAAATCAATTATCTTAAAAATATTACAAAAAGTTGTGACAAAAATAAAATAATTTTCACTTAGATTTCACTTTACTTATAAAATTTCATTTGTATTCATCTACAATCTATTATCTCCATTCTATAAACGACAAAAACTATATCTTTTTAACTAAACCTGTCACAGATTTAAGATTAAAAATGAATAAACAATAAAAAATCAACATAATAAACAAACAGCGCAAGTACCTTGTTTTCGTAAAATCGTAAAAAATTACCTTAAGTGACAAATCTAATGTCATTTACCGTGGGTTTCTAACACTAAATTCCCGTTTAAAACATTAGCTGTCAAAGATGTAAAGAAACAAGGATGACGATACATTTAATACAGATATCTTGGTCTCAGAAGCCAACGGTTATTTGAAACTCAGGAAAAATAACGATGTATCCTTTTTGAAGTTGTTTAAAAAACAATCGCATGACAATTATCTGTCCAGGATTCAACAGCTATTAATTTCTAATTTTATATTAGTACCAGTAGCAATGTAGTATTAATCCTATAAAAAATACTAAGTATCACGGCTTTGCTATTCTTGCACGGCTCTGATAAATGATAAATAACAGAATCACACCTTATCTTTGTATGGTTATTATATATTTTCTTTGAAGTATATTTAAATAAGTTTCCAATTATGATAAAAATCTATGGACGATCTCTGTGCTCAGACACAGCCCACTTCCCGCGAGATTGTTTGATAACATTTTTTTTTAACAATCACGATACTTAATTAGTCGAGGAAAATTCAAAATTACTGAATATAACTTCGTTCAATTAATTCTGCGTATTTATTACATTCCAATAATTATAAATATTTTAATTAAATTGAATATTAAGTTTAGGTAAACCTTAATACGTTTATAGTTTTAGTATTTTTCTATTTTATTTATTAGATTACGAGTGCAGTTGTTATCATTATTCACTAATATCTGTAAACATAGAAAAGAAGAAAAGCAAAGTTCTACTGCGTATTGTTTTATCTTACATATCTTACTAATATTATAAATACGAATGTATAGATGGATAGATGGATGCTTGTTTGAAGGTATCTTCAGCTGAACGAATCCGGCTGAAATTTGGCATACTCTGGAATAACACATAGGTTACTAATTTTTTTTTTAATTTCGCGCTGACAAAGTCGCGGGCGATAGCTTGTATAAAATAAATTCAAAATACAGTAGCAAGAAATTTCAACAATTAAAATTATAATTAACAGTTATGGAAAGGATTTAAAATTTATATTCAAAGTTAACTAACCTAACGGTCAACTTGTGTAAAATGTGTAATATCTTAGCACTAAACGTTTTTACTAAAAATTTATGTTGACGTTACTATAAATTACTAAATAAATAGATGAGTAAATTGAAATCCTTTGAATGGCTAAACATAACATCCCCGTATTTCTCTGTCACGTAAACAAAGCCTTCCGCCCCTTTTCACTTAGCTCCTTTATTTAAACAAAGGATCTTTTAAAACCATTAAAACCACAGAAACAAAAACAAACTGCATTTTGTTGCAAGTCAAATCGTAGACCTGTCAATGTGAATTTAACATATTCAAGAACATTTTCAACCATAAAATACTTAAACTATTATTGTTAAATGTACTAATCTTATGCTATCTCTTAAATTGTAAAGACCAATTGTAATCAAATGGACTCTTCCATAGAGCTAAGAAAGTTCTAGACTGGCTTCAAGAAGTTCTTATGAAGATTGGTGGCATTCCAAATATTGGACGCAGATTTGAAATTCGAATGAATAAATTAATTTATTCTTAATGTGGATCAACTTCTGGTAAAAGTTAATACAATATTTATTCTTCCTTTTATCCAGCCAGTAATCGATGGCTAGAGCATGTAGAAATTAATTCGTTACATGAATGGATATGCCAATCACGATCTAATATAATATTGACAACGCGCAAAAACTAAAACATAATCCGATAACATCTTTGTTTGGCAGCTTTGGCACCCGTCTGTTCAGAACTCACTTTCATTTTGTCTGCATTTTTTTTTCTTGCTTTGTAAGCATAGAGTATTAATATGTAATTACAAGAGTAACAATGGATATTGTAATTAATTTTCAAATCTAATTTAAGCTTAATACTACAGGCATTCCAAATACAAATATTTCTTTATCATTATTAAGGAGAAGTACAATTTAATTTTGTAAAAGTAGACTATAAATGGCAACTCTATGTTACAATAGCATACCAAATGTTTAGGCATTTTTCTTTTTTTATTCAGAGAAAGCTAGCGAGAATTAAATAAACTTCTTTGAAATGGCAATAGGATTGCATTCACGGACACCTATCATCGAAGATATTAAGATTACGAACATGAATATTCTGAGAGTATATTAAAATAAAAAATATTTAATTACTCTGTGCAATCTTTTTGCAAGCTTACACGCAAATTAAGGCTACACGGCAACTATAAACGTAAACATGGTCGAACGTTAATTACTTCGAATCAAAGCGCTTTATTGGAGCAGTAAGTTTAACTTTGACAAGTGGAACGGCTTTTAAAACTTTCGTGCAAGGAAATGTATCGGACACTTGCGATAAAGATTTTCTATTTAATTAATGTACGGGATGTTTTGTTTAGTACACGTTAGAATAACTAATATACTATAAAGACATGGCTTTGAATCCTATTGACGTCAATTTATCAAATTTTCAACGTGGTCCCCTGAGATCCCCGGAAGACCTGGTGGTATTTTTTTATATCATAGTAGCAAACGATTATACTGCCAGTTTTGTTTGCTAAAATAACGAAGGTACCGTTGCCCATAGGCATCCGCAATTGCAGAAACGATGCCAATTTTTCGTCAATGGAGGGGACGCACAGAAAGAGGTTGTTTCCCTTACCTATGCGTCCTCTCCGCTGTCAAAAAAGAAAACGGTGGGGAGGGGACTAAAATTAGGCCGGAACGCTTATATAGATTCATAAAAATAAAAGTGCAAGCTAAATAAGAAACTGTTTTACTGGAGATTCTCATTTGTTTTATTTATGATTTACGGTGGAACAAAGAGTCCAAACTTGAGTTTGGTATCTGATATCAGAGCGTAGGCGAAGTAGTAGCAAACGGCAATGGTGACGATGCTTCCGATGAGCCGGCAGAACCAAATGCAGCCCATGTCGACGCACACCGGCCGCTGGTCCGGCTCAGGCGGCTTGCATTTACATTTGTCGCTCGCGATACTTTGGTAGCTGGAAATATTATAAAGGAGACAAAATTCTAGTCTTCTCCTTCCCATTTTCTGGTGACTTAAAATTGTGACTGGAAATTATATTTAACGGGAGTGTGCAGGAACGAGAAATATCCTCCTGTATTTCTTTCTTTTTCTGGACGTCCTTAACTCCCATAAAAGTAGGAACCGCATTTGTAACCTTTTAAAACCTACAATCTTAAAGTTTTACTACGTGTGAAAAAAAATTACACAATTATCTGTATTTTGCCATCTACTTTTCTCATAATGCTATGCTTGAAGCAGCCAAGTACCATCAGCCATGTATCTAAAACAAAAAAAAATAAAAAAAAATCATTTACTGTACTTAAGTATAATAAAAGAAAGCTTAGATGGAAAGTTGGTGACCATAGAATTGGATGTTACTTACTTTTGTCTCATATCGTATCTAACATTATATTGAACGTAATTTGTGTTAGCCATATACAAAAACAATATGAAAAAACCAATTAATACTATAGCAAATACGAAGAACTCGATATACCATAGGGAATTAGTAAATAATCCTTGCATAATTTACTGTTACATTTGTTTACATGGTTACGTTTACGATTTTATCTATGTTATCCAAAAAGTTCTTAGTGCTTGTGTCAAATTTATGTACTAAAAAGTTTGAGGTTATAATTCGTCATTTTTAATAATTTACATATCCTGGCAAAAAAAATACGGTTCATGAATTAATTTTACGACTAACTGCACGCTTAGATATAACATATCGCTTAATATTTTTTGAGTTTCGTGTTAAACTTGAAAATTTATGTCCAAACAACTCTTTATTGAATCTTGAATATTGAGACAAAAGTCCATTCCGGCCTTCCAAATTGTTGAACAAGCGAAATAATAAAACAAAGATATTATAAACGTCGAAAAGTTTAATGCACTGATTATTAAAAATATGAATTGCACATAACATAGATGTAATTGAAATCCATATAAAGTTTAAACGAAAATAAAGTGAAATGGATATGGTATTGAAGAACGTAATTAATTTATGAATATTTAACAGTACTATGTAACATGTTTATGATCTACATACGTGGTATTCATTCAAGCGGACGTTGTACTCTCGCTAAATGGATTTTAAAAACGAGCAAAAGAAAAATAGACAGACTAGCCAGCAGTCCAATTTATTTTTTTTTATTTCTATTACTTTTTTGCACAGGATGTCCGTGAGGAGAGCAATAATCACTTCTAAATTTCGTCCGACAGTGAAAGTTAACGTGCTATATTCTGTTTTACCTGTACAATTAACATGCATTATTGAGACCCCTTTATATTACAATACAATTACAATGATTGCGTTAAATAACATGCAATTACGTTAACGACATAATGTTAACATTACTGAAAAATTTATTCATATTAATGATAAAGGAGTGTCTGTATGTAATATCTGATAATATCGAAAAAAAATATTTCGTACACATGATTTATAGCTGATAGCGAAACACCAATTTAAAAATTATTGTATGTATGTCTATCCGCAAGGCCGCGTTTGTTCCGGGTAATGAAGGGAACAACTGAAACGATTTTTAAATTAGGAAATAAACAACAAAACCTACTCAAACAGGGTTATCTTTATTTCTAAAAAATATGTTATTTTGAGCTTGTAGTAACGGTGTAAACCATAAATAAAATGTAATCTTCGACTTCACCATCGACTCTTTATTTTACTCTGTACCCAAAGCTACTCTGTGACTTGTCATTGACATCGTGACATTTAAAAAAAATTGCCATGTGTGATTATTAATTATTTTGTCAATTTCTTAACAAAATTCTAATCTTATAATTATTAAGATTAATATCAAAATGTTGTATATTAGTTCCCTATCAACATTTAACACAGTTTGCCCATTCAATAAAATTCGATTAGGAAAACTTACCTTGTACTGATAATTTTGTGCTATCTATTTAGTTAATTGAAATGATAATGAATTAAAGTTGTTGAGTTATGTATGACTATTACGAATTGGAAGATCGTAACATGAAAGGCTCACTTCGTGACTGGCGGAAGGCGCTCCGTACACCTGCCACGTACAGGGTCGGCAATGCAGTAAGAATACAACCACAATTCGTGTTTCTTGTTGGACTAGTCGGATTATTTTTGTTAATTTTAGTTTATTATAATTGGTGGACGAGTGCTCAAGTTCATGTCACACACAAATGGAGCACGATAACAAGGTCGTACAATACAACCTATCCTTTAACACCACCAGTGAAGTCAGGTGATACTGTCACTTACAGAATAGGTATAGTCGCTGATTTAGATACAAATTCGAAGAGTAGTTCCAAGGAATATACATATAATAGCTATTTAAAAAAAGGATCATTAACTTATGATGTCGTCAGGCATACTGTATCAGTCAAATGGGATACACAGCCAGCAATATTGCTTTCTTCCACATATTCCCACAAAGGTAGAGGAATGGAGCTGTCCGAGCTGATTGTATTTGATGGAAGATTGCTTACATTTGATGACCGGTCGGGAATGGTATGTTAACTTTTTTCTTTTTACATATATAATGGATCTGTTGCATTGATACAAAATTTGAATGTTAATATACTTGACACATACTAGTATGAGGAATAAAAACTTGCTTGTTTAATTTCAGGTTTTTGAGATTATTAATAATAAAATGGTGCCATGGGTGATACTGACAGATGGTAATGGTCATGTAGAAAAAGGTTTTAAGTCAGAATGGGCAACAGTTAAAGATGAAATTCTTTATGTTGGCTCAATGGGCAAGGAGTGGACAACTGCCAGTGGAGAGTTCCAGACATATGATCCAATGTGGGTTAAAGCTATCAACATACATGGAGAGGTAACTGTCATTTGATAACTAAGACATCAACCCGTCAAATACCACCTCTTTTAAGAAGATTATCTTCACATGGGTTGATATTCTAATCCAAAATATTATTAATTATAATTTTAATCAAATAATAGTTAAAAAGAGGAGGTTGTAAAGTTATCTTTAAGAAGTGATTATGAAATATAAATGGTTGGAGTTGTAATCATAAATTTATTTTGAATGTAAAACTACTCAAATAGGCATTTTACTGTGTTATTGTCAAATGTGAATTTGTCAGTAAAAAGTTTTTATGTAATTAATATTAAATTTTTAACTTTTCAGGTGCAACATTTAAGTTGGGTGAATCAATATAAATCTGTACGTAATTCACTAGGCATAAAATGGCCAGGTTACATGATTCATGAGTCTGCAGTCTGGTCTCCAGTTACAAAGAAATGGCATTTCCTACCTCGGAGATGCAGCCATGAGCCATATAATGAGACTAAGGATGAAGTGATGGGTTGTAATTATCTGATAACCGCAGACAGCAGTTTCAAATCTATTGAAGCAAGAACGGTAATTTTATTGTTATTTTGTTTCAACAATGTTTTGTTATATGAATGTGGAGGAACATATCCTTAAAGTGATGGATTCTGTTAAGAGAAGGAAAGGAAGTTAAGACTAATGATGAATGAAAGATAAATTTGAAAGATAGTCTCTTGTAGATGTAGAGTGTCAGATAGAGTAGACGGGTAAGAAGTTGCATACACTTTTTCTTTTTAATAATTGAAATAATTTAGGTGTAGGTAACTAATAACGATTTGTTACATAAAATGTTACTTAATATATTTTAAATGTGTTGATAAAGTAATCAGCACTGTGCTATGTCAATGACTTTGCATATTAACGAATGTTCTAGACATATAAGTATCTTTTTTAATCACTTTTTTTGGTATTTTTATCTTACTTTTTTTTAATCAAACTAAAATTACATGGAACAATTATTGTTAATGTTTTTACTCTTACTAATATTGCGAAAGTTAGATGAATGTATGTTTTTAGAAGGTACCTCCGAAATGGCTCAATGAATCTTGAAATTTGGCACAGATGTAAAACCTAGCCTGTATGAACACATAACATACTTATGAAGTATCTTTTTATTCCGCGAAACGGAGTTCTGTGCAATGGCTAGTAACTAAATATAAATTTCTATATTTCTGATATTATCTTAAAATAATTTTTCTTACAGATAACAAAACATCAACCAAAGCATGGTTTCTCATCGTTCAAGTTTATTCCTGGTTCGAAGGACGAGACCATTGTCGCTTTGAAAACTACAGAATATGAAGGCAAGACCGCTACCTATATATCAGCATTTAAAACTGACGGAACAGTGTTACTTCCCGATACATTCATAGAAGATATAAAGTATGAAGGTTTAGAGTTTATATAATGTGTAGATATATTAGGAGAATTTTGTTATTTAAATGTATATTTTGTATAATTTTGTTACAGTGTACATCTGTCAATTAAAACTCCATTTTTTTTGTTTATATATTTTCTTTAATGATAAAAATATAACAAAAAAAAATATTATACCTTATATGTTTTAATATTTTTCATTACATTAATAACTCAACATATTGGCTTAAATTACTAACAATAAATAAAAATTGAGTGTTAGTATAGAAAAAATCATATAATATTCCCATTTAGTTATATGATATTATATTATAATATAAACAAAGCGATAGAGTCATGGATTATACATAACATATATTTATCACTTTTCTTTCTAAAGAGTGTGAGCGAGATGACAATACTATTCAATCAAGTTAGTCGGAAAACCCATTTTCAGATATAGGACTTAAGACAAATAGCAATGAGATAAATTCTCAAATATTGAGATAAAAAAGAAATTTCACAGCACAGGGTAGTGGAATTAAAAGGAAATAGTGTAAAAAATAATAAAATGGCACAATTAAATTGCTAAAAAGAGACAGAGAAACTTCGTTTCTTAGAACAGTAACATAAATTACAAAAAAACATTTACATACACCTTGCTAACATCTAAGGAACTTTTATACATTCTGCTAAGCTCTTTTAATCACATATTGCTTTTAAGCATCAAAATCTTGTCATTTTAAGCCAATAGATCGAGTTATTTGTTCAAACACCGTCCAAGCCATAGCGGCCATTAAAGTTCTTCGTAACATCCTTGGTACCGCGCCCTTGAAGTAACCTTGAACCCCATAAGTCTGAAACAAGAAAATAAAGTTAAAACGACTGCTTGAAAAGGAATCGTGATGAATACTGTCATCTGATTGGCTGTCACATTTTATCTGTATTACATTAAATGTCAAAATCATATGACATTTCCTAACTTTCGGCGGTAAATTAAAATTAAGTGTAAATACACTTCGTGTTATTAACAAGATCGAAAAATCCTAACTAAAACAGTCAAATAAAAATTAATTACCAGTGTAAAACAAATAACAACCAATTTAGCCATTTAATACAAGGAAATTACTGCGCAATAAAATCACTCGTTCCGCGCATGTCGTAGAGGTCAATAAGTCGATATGATTCGTAATTTTTTAAGCAACAATTAATCATCAAACACAATCAACCGTACCGGGTGGCTAGAGTTTATCATCCAAAGGTGACAAAAAGACCTGAGACAATACAACGAATATTATTATTGCTAAAATAAAATTATATTGTTTTATTTTTACTTAGCAATGCCGGATCTATTTACCGTGCGTTTCTGACTCGAAAATCTCTGTCATATCTTTGACGACACAGAGATTATATATTTCAAACGAAAATTCTGTAATCGGAAACTCAAGGTTTTTTATATTTAGTATAACCTTACTTTTATATATAGCTACTTTTAAAGTTCCATATTTAGATGACAGATATTAATAGAGATTGTAAAGTTAAAACCTGTTTAATACATTTTACACTCTCGATTAAATAGTATCATAATTATTCTGAAGTGAAAAATAGCAAACAGAAATTAAAATGATAAGATCTCAGTATTTTTTTAACTTGATATAAAAACAAGTTACAGCATTTAGGTTTTTAATCATAGTAAATCTATATTTCATAAATTATGTTTTAGATAAAAAAAAATGGATGAAAAATAAACTACATTAAATTATATGTAAAAAGTGCCAATATGTTTGTTAGAATCGCACGCTGGTGTGGATAATACGTCGCCGTATGTTATTATGGCGCCGATTTCAGGCGCCCTTATGGCGCCGAGTCCAGGCGCCCGGCGCCCTTTTAATGGATGAGTTAAGAAGTCCCTGGATATTAGGAAGGAGTTCTCACCTGTTGTATATACATAGCTGCACTAAACGCGTTGGGGAATTTATCAGGATAGAGCTGCATATGAGTCTTGAGCACGTCAGCAGGATTGGTGGCGAGAGAGGCGGCGATGCCGGCCAACACTCCGCATGAGAAATGTACCACGCTAGCTGTGCTTGATGATTGCAGCCATTCTGTTGATAATTATTACATATTAATATCCCATTCCAAAAGAACGCATTTGTAGAAATCCGGAGAAAAGTCTATTAGTCATCTAATTACTAACATTATAAATGTGAATGTTTAGATGGATGGATGGATGGATGTTTGTTTTAAGGTATCTTCGGAAGGGCTTAATGGATCTTGTTGAAATTTGACATAGATGGAGGACTGAGGAGTCTGGAAGAACACAGAAGTTACTTATTAAGTTTTTTAAATTCCGGACGGACGGAATCTCGGGCCACAGCTAGTATTTTAACACTTTAATGCCACCTATTCGCCTTTTAATTTCACTTTAATATAAATCATAGTGGTATGGAACGTGTTAAGCCAAGACTACGGAATTGACATATGTTTACATTAATTCGCACTGTTTATATTAAATATCGATTAGTGCGGGTCACGATTTATGTATGTTTAGATAACATTAGACATGAGTAACCACGCTTATAGATTACATTTTAAGGGCTTCATTCTCTTATACAAATAAAATAAACAAATTTGATTATTTCGTGTACAAAATAGCATCTATTTTTTTTTCATTTAACTTCTTATGCACAGAAATAAATATAAAAGTATAATCTAAGAGATATGTTCAGTTTAGAACCTACGGATACAAAAACTAAATCTTACTAATTATAAATGCGAATATTTAGATGGATGTTTCTTTGAAGGTATGTCTGGAACGGTTCAAACGATTTTGATGAAATTTGGCACAGATGTAGAATGATTTTTTTTCTTTTTTAATGCCACGCGGACGGAGTCACGAGCGACAGTCAGTTTCCCATAAATTAAATAAGAGATAAAAGAAAAAAATAAACTGGTTATCTATTTAAGAACTAAAACATAAAAAATACTTGACCTATTTGTGTTGCATACAGAATTAATAGTCACGTCTCAAAACTTCATTTTAAATTACTTTAAGATACGCAATCTTAATTAAGATATTTCTTATCGGAATAATTAAACATTGTGATATAGACGAAAGAAAAAATCCAAACTAAATATGCGTCTGATAATTAAAAAATTTTATACGCATATCAGTTTCAAATTACTCGCAATTTAAACTAAATGATTATGCATACCAAATTTCCAAAGAGCAAAATTAAATAGTGAAGTCAATTGTTTGCATTTCTCTCAAAACTTAAGTTTTTTTCTCAGAATGTCATAGGGTCCCTCTTTAACTTTACACTTCTTTGCCAAATTAAATCGTAATTTCGTTTCAAATGGATACTTAATTTATGTAAACTGAGAAACGTCAAATTTTAAAAATGGCGGCCATTGTTCTATCTATTTTTTTTTTAGTTATTTTCTTAAAAGTGTGGGATAAAGTTATATTTTTGATAATATAAAGCAGGGAATCGGGTTTTGGCGGAAACATTTCGAAATTTACAAGTTTACTTGGATATTAAAGAAATTTTGACTCATGAGTGCTATCAGACGAGTGTAAATGTTAAAATTAGTGAAATATAAACATACCTTTAGGTATTGCTTGTTTAGTTTGCGTGTAAAACATGAGATAGAGGCCGGAGAACGGCGCATCTCTTGCTAAAGTTGGTCCCAAGCCGCACACCAATCCGCGAACACCCTCCGCCCTGTAGATGTCCCTCAGAGCACCGCTCAGACTGTTATACTTGTACACGCCAGATTCGTACCTATTGCAAACGAAAGAATATTAAGATTTCAGAGTAGTGATTTTTTTATTACGATTGTAGCAAACAAGCAGGTAGTAGAGCGCAGTAATCGCTGCCCAGAGACATGTTCTATAAATAAAAAGGTCGACGAATTTGTTCCCTACCTTTAATGAACAGAGGAGGGGATGCACAGAAAAGGACATTTTCCTTTCCTATACCCTCACATCCACAAACCTAACTTCCAATACGTTTAGTTAGTTAACATCTAATACTATTAAACAAATCTTACCTAGTCTTAATAACGGTGATAGGAATCAACGCAACTCCGCTCATGGTCCTCGCGATCACACCAAGAGAGACCGCCTCCATTGGTCCCAGGTTTTCTTTACCCAGTTTAGACTTGAGCCAGTGGAGGGACGAGAAGTATAGTCCGACGCCTGGCACACAGCGGGCCACGGAGGGTACCATGCCGCGCCATAGACCCACGATGTGCTCCTGACGTACGATGTTAGCGAAGATAGTTATCATACCGGGCTGGATTCGGCTGCTGGAATTAAAATGAATATTTTATGCTTGGTCATTTCTGATGGCTTTAAACATCATCCAAGTTATGACAGACCTACGCTTCTTACGAGTAATATCTAATAATTCAAAGAGCATTTAGGGCTTTATTTTGGTCTAAGGTATAACGTTGTTCAAATGAGATTTCATGGAATGCCTTATTTCGTGGTTGTAATAATCTTAACACCTTCTACCTCACTACGGAGACTAAAGAAGGACACTAATCCAAGTCAGTTCCCTTGATTGCGTACTTGAAATTTATTGCCTCTTTAAAGCACTGATCTCTTTAAATTTATAGGTGATTGCTTGGAAATGACAGCTTTTGCTTCGTTCTGACTTTAACGGGCCTGTTTATGGTCCTCAAAGTTAATTCTATCCTTATTATTAGTTCAAATCCTCACCATCGCTACTATAGGCACAAAATACCACAGCTATAGCCTGTCTATTTATACAAGTCAATGATTCGAAATTCTTAACCATAGACATACTACAATTTACTTCCACCTACTAAAACATAAATTCCAAAATATTTCTGGCAAAACACGAATAACACGTGTCATCAAGTCTTTTATCTATCGAATAAACATAATTAATAAATCCACAAATTAATTAAAAGATAAATCCGAGCATATAGTATTTAATTGCCTCTCGCACTAAATATTCAGTATTTATGATATGACATAACAAAGTCACGATAAATTTCACACAGCAACACAACGATAATGTTACAATGTTGTTTGCAAAAGGAGCTAAAATGTCTCGTGACTAAAAGTGAAAGTATATCCCAGGTAATTCAAATAATTTATAGACCAACTTCTCTGGATGTACGGATTTGCTTAAATATTATTGTATTTTTAATTTTTAAAGACCTACGATTATATTTTATATGGCCTGATTCCGTAAGGAGGCCTAACCGGAAAAAAATTTACAAAACTTGATTTTGACATTTTTAAGAATACCATCATCTAGTTAGAAATAGGAAAACAATAAGAATTTTCTTTAATCATTATTAATTTCTCATTCAATTCATTATAAGTCTTTATTTGTATTGTACACTTACTTGACAGTCGCCGCAACAACATTCTGACTGGAGTTCTGCAGTCTCGTCTTAACCAGGTCCAACGGTTGAAACAGTATTGTGCTGAAAGTTCCCGAGAACGAACCCGCAAGGAACGCCTTGAAGACAGGGTGGTACTGCGAACAAAATTAACAACGTTACATTGGTATTTGGAAATAAAGATACACTTTGACCTCGACTCACTATCGTAACATAACTCAGTGCAGACAATTGGAGTAAACGGAGTTTAAATTGAACTTACATTTGCCACAATATCCATTCTTTCGATTCCTCGCTACAAGGTTGAAGATCAGGTAATATCTTTTGGATAGACACCAAACTTGTAGTACTCGAAATGGTATAACCAATGACAAAGGTAGGATTTTGTTTGGTATAATTTATAATGCGATCTTAGATCGTATCCGAATAATCCGAATAGTAAATAGGGTTGATACGGAACATTAAGGTAATTGTCATTTTTTGGAGGAGCTCGTTCAAATATTGATGCATGTATGCAGCTACCAGTGGGAATTTTAAAGGAACTTAAGCCGCAAAACACTGAGGCTTCGTGCAAGTCTTTAGTACACAAAAACACAGAACTGTATTAATTTGGGGAGAGAAAATCACTGAAGTCAATGAATTTAGCCATGAGGAAAGAGAAGAGACAACTAATAAATATTTAATTGGAGAATTAAATATTAAATATTTCGATAATGTAAAGAGACGTGTACACGAAAGAGCGACTGAACACAGACTGAATATATCGGATGGTACGATACAGATATAGTTAGGTAATTTATAGGAGACGTTATCAGTAGACGACCGCGGGTGAGCTGGGCTGGGGTCGAACTCGACAACCCCGTTTGATAACACTATCTCAGTTTGTGCTAACTAGGGGGTAACGGGCACGCCGCGTCGCATTGATACAGTGTGAAATAAACAGAATGTCTACTCATGTTGAAAACAACGTAACGAATAAAACTTATAACAATAAAAACGATAGGTGGATACAATTTTGACGAGACAAGGAAAATAATAAAGACGATTTGAATAACGAGAAATATGAAAGTGAAACAGGAAAAATCGTTGCAATAAAAAGCTTTATAAAATGCGATATTTTCATTTAGTTGTAAAGAAAAGATGCAAAGGAAACTGACGATGAATAAAATGCCGATATATGTTATAATAAAAATGCAGTATTAGTAGCTTTAAAAGAAAGAAAATCTTGCAAATAACACTTCCTAGTAAATTATAATAACGTCTAGGTAGGGTAGTTTCAAATTAAGAGTTGTTCAATCTCTAATCAAAACTAAGCACGAACTAACTCACAGTAGACTGAATAAAATTAAAGGTTAAAGCAGTTTTCTATTTCATGGTAAGTTTGTGTTACTAGAAATGGATTAGCATAACAATTACTGCAAATAACAAAACACTGTCAAGAACACAGGTGTAAGTTATGTAAACAATTTTAATATAGAGTATAGAATTTAAACAATAAAATGATGTAATAATATAACGCTGTAGCTTTCATAGTTGTTAAGAAAATAGTATTGACAATTTATGAGACAATTAGCACTAAATATTCATGAAATACTTCTAATAATAGGAACATTATTATAAAGACTATGCTTATATTTGCAATTTATGTCCACACGGAATTAAAAAAAACTTAGTAGCCTATGTGTTTTTTTATATAACAGAAGGGGGCTGAATGCAGCATGAACACCAAGGTGTTCAACAACATGGACATCAGCAATACCAGAGGAACTGCAGATTCGTTGCCGGCCTTTGAGATAGTGATAAGCTCGCTTCTTGAAGGTCTTGTTGTTCCCGACTATGTTCTACAGCTATAAAAAAATTGAACAAGATACATGCAAACATTCTAGAGATACCTTCTAAACATTTGCATTTATAATAATATTATTATTAATAAAAAGTAAGATGAATTTGTACGTTTGAGGAATTCTTAACGACATTGTTATCAAGTAATAAATATCTAATATAAGTATTATCTTCGCCTGATGCAAACATATTTCAAGATTAATATATAAATACGTAAGCAAATGCGCAAACGCAATATTTTGGTAAACAACAGATAAATTTGTGGGTGTGTCTTAAAGTTACGGACATATTTTTCTTTTTTCTAACTACATTATAACTAGCTGTTGTCTGTGACTTCATCTGGACGGAATTAAAATAAAACTTTAAAAGGTGGTTGAGGAATAATGGAAGGTTAAATTTCTTAACACTATCTGTTCTTCCAGACTATGTTCTATATCTGTGCCAAATTTTATTAAGATCCCTTGAACCATAACAGAGATACCATCTAACAAACATCCATGTAAACTTTCGCATTTATAATATTAGTAAGATAATTCCACTTATGTTTTTATACTTTAGCACACATTTCCCGTATTTTCTTTTTCTGTATTTGTATAAATATATTCATGTTAATTGTAGTACAATAGGAAAGAAAATTAAACAGACAGACTGTACAAATAGTTGATGTTACAAAGTTACTAATATTATATATGCGAATGTTTAGATGGATGGATGGATGGATGTTTGTATAAAAGTATCTCTGGAATGGCTGCATGAAACTAGCTGAAAACAGCATAGATATAAAACATAGTCTGGCAGAACATATAGGCTACTTAGTAAGTTTGTTTTTAAATCTGTGCGGACGGAGTCACGGTTGACAGCTACTCATTTATATACCTAAAAAATAATGAAATATATACCATCATTACTGTTATATAATATCTAAGACACAGTGAACAAGACAAGGTCAAAAGCTATTATTGGCAAACATATTTGACTGATTACTTCTAACAGATAATAAAATTCTTGTACAAAATTACTTCCTTGATTTTTTTATGTAAGCAAAGATCTAATACTTATTATGACTGATATAAAAAAAATATGTCTATTAATATTTTCAATAAAATAATGGAAATTACATGTAATTTCTACATGTCTTACTACTATAGCTAACAAATACAGCTATTTAATGAAAAGAGTTAATCTCTTAAGATATCTCAATTTGATATGTGTAATTGTTACATAAGCAATTAAATTCCTAAATACTTCTTCCTTAATTCTTGCCTCATATAGATACAAATTTATGACTGAGGATGGCATTCAGGCATCAATCACTATTAGTACTTTAGCTTAAAGATATATAAATATGTTATTATTGAAAATAATAAAAATTTAAATTTACAGACATATTGAATTATTCACAATTCACAGACAAATTTGTAAACATACCTCAAAGTAAGCTTCCATTGTGATAATAAAAGTAAAAAGTCTGTACTGCAGAGAACAAAATTCACAACCATATTGATTGTTATTCTCTTACTTATTTATATATTTTAATGAACATTGATGACATATTGAAGATAGTTACAGGAGCTTTAAAACAAGGAGGCGACGTATTGTGATAAGGTCAGAAAGGAGGTCTTTATCGAAAACAAACAAGTCCGCAGGGGGGCTACACTTACGTTATCATTCGAGTTGTTGAGGTCAACCGGCGCTGTTGTATCTATCGCCCAGCCATTCGAAAACGCCCCTGACGACTGCAACATCGCTTCTTAACCTAATTATATTGTTTTTATTTCTACATTATAGTTTTGTGGAGACAAAATATTAGCGACTTCAAGGTTATTTTTTTGCGCGTCACAAATATGATACAAGATTAACATTTATTATTTTATTATTGTTGTAGCATAAAATCAAACCACTTTATTTCGTTTTTGTTAAAAATTACTTTATGACAACGTACAATTATGAAATGTTTATTTTATCGAAAACATTTCCACTGTTTTGACAGTTTTCACCTGACATTTGTTATCAAATCATTTTTTGCAGGTTGAGGTGAATAAACTGCGTTCATAGAGTAATTAAAATTTCAAAAATAATTTCTGGACGAATCCTTTTTTTCGAATTTAACTTCATTGTAACTAATTACGGATATTAAAAAGTATCTAAATTATTTTTTAAGTTTAAAAAATTGTAAAGAGAATTGTTAAGCATGTCTATAGATTTAAAATTATCCGCCTATCCGTTCCCATAAGTTTACGAACTGATTTCTTGAGAAATAATGATTATTGCAAAAGGTTGTTTAAAGTAACGCTCATAACATTATGTTTGTATAAATATTAGAATGACGCGATGAAATAAATTAACTATATATTAAATACAAACAACTTATTGCTATCCGGTAGTTATTAAAAGATTTTGTATTATTCCTTTGAGCGCGAGGTTATCTTGCGGAGTCTGGACTCGAGATAAGCATATCGTAGGGGGTACCTCCTATCAATATCATGCGACACTTCGCAAAACAACAGGTCATTGCGCATTTTATAAATGTATATGTTTTAATAATTTTCAATAATATTTGTGAACTAAATTGTGATGTAATTAAAATTAATCTATTTGTATTGGAAACATTCGTGTAAGACTACGTCTTCATTTGTCTTAGGTTCAATTAATTTAGTCCTTGCCTTACAATCCTATCAGTGAGTACTCAAACGTCGGATTTACAAGTCAGGGATTCGTTTCCTTACTTTTTTGCGTGGTTCTCATAAGTTTTCGTTAGCGTAAGTTTCCACTACCGAAAAACTCATTTATAAAATTTTGTTAAACTTTAAATTATTAAAAAAAAAACAAGGATATATATTTTAAATTGTATTTTATTCTACGTACTTTCATAAAGATACAGTGTATTCTATGAAACTTACAACATGAAAAGTAACGCGTCGTGGAACACAAATACAAGAATAAAGATGTATTCATTATAAAATCGTTAATCACAGTATGTACTAACACATAACATGGAATGAAATATTAAATTTTTTAATATTAATAAATAAGAATATCAAGGTATCCCTGATTCTTTATATAATATTACATTTTGTTAGTTACATTTCAAAGAAAACGATTCAAACCTCCTGTGGAGTTTGAAGGCACAATAGTATTTATAGATAATTAAATAGTAATATTAATTGTACTGTACTAAGATCGACTAAATTATATTTTGTGTGTGATCAAAATTGGCACAATTAATTAATTAAAAAAAAAAACGCGATTTCTCACAATATTATTTCTGCTATTACTAAAAAAAATGCTGGCTGTCTTAAAGCTAACTGTAAGTTAAAGAACACTTACGCCTTATGTCATTATTAAAAAAAAATACAAAAATAAATTTCAAATATGGAATGAATTGAAAATCTGGAATGACTCATCAATTTTGGAAAAATACAATCAATAATTAAATAGAGATTCAAAAGACTTAACAATATTGGTTCTTCATATACCCTTATTTATATTGACTTTATTACCTACGTAAATAAGTACAGAACTATAATTTGCTCATTTTGCCATGAGATTTAATGTAGAAAAATTTAAAAAAAAGTTGTAACAACAAATAAAAGAAACTTTTAAACTGTTGATTATTCTATTAAAAATCAGTACAACAATAGTAAATTTAAAATGATAATTAGATTAAAAGTATATATTTAAGTACGTTGAATTAATATTTTCCAAGAATTATATTCGTAGTTAAGAAAATAAGTCAAGAAGAGGCAATCTCATGTAAAAATGAACAGACTGTATGTCGAAATGCTAATTAATTTGACGAAATAAAACAGTTCACATAATATTTCTACGTTCGTTACGATCATTAAAGGCACGTTTACATGTGTCTCGTATTGCCGAAGTTGATGCCGCTTTGGTTGGCGCCCTTGTTGGATCCGTACTGTAGTGAAATGACACCTTGACCAGCTCTCAGCTGCTCCTCCGTGAAGTTACGTACATTCTTCTCAGCTTCCTTTGGTCCTATCGACGGCTTACCGAAGTTATGCGCCTGCAAATTATAATTAGCAATTAAATAACTAGAAAACATAAGTACCATTTTTTTATATGCGTTGCCTAACTTTAATCGACGGAGAAGAGGATGCTCAGAACGAAAACATTTTCCCTTTCCATGCATCCTCTCATCCGGAAAGTCCACTTCCACTTCCCATCCTTTCCTTATAAGAAAAAGGGTGGGAAGGGAAAGAGGATTAAATTAGGCCTCCGGGACGCACACTCATCAGACGAAACGCGGAATTGCTTCCACTTGACGCGTGTCTTCTGTGTGGTCGTGGTATTTCACCGGGCGAGCCGGGCCAATTCGTGCGAAGATGTTAAAGCGGGCTCTACCACTGTTAAAATGTCCGAAATAAATCTGAATTTACATGAAATATGCAATTAAAATGTGGTAATGTCTTTGAACGTGAACTAAACAATGTCACGGACATACTATTAGCATTGAAACTGTATTACTTGAATACTTCCGATTAATAGGAATTATTTGCATAAGCACGCAAACATGTTACATAATTCTATTAAGCTTATTATACTAGTTCTATTTATTGAAACAAATCGAAATAAAGTCGTGCAAAACTGCGGAAGTGTTTTACGGATTTAGTTTAATGCAAAGACCACGCAAAATGGAGTCTTAACCTGTGCTTCCCTGGGTAACATGGAGGTTTGATGCTGTTTTTCGCCATTCCTATCGGAGTAACTAATATGTTGTCCACCTTTCTACCAAACACACGATTTGTTAGTACGGAACTTTAAAATTATTTAAGGCTCCATAAAGCGTGTGAAGACATAACATAAATACAATGTTATAATTGGATTTGAATGCTGAGTAACTGGAAATGTTTTCACAAGTTCAAGGTTCTATTCACTTAATACGGTTAATAGGTTCGCGGTCTTTGCCCTCCGTTCAAGGTTTTTAACAC